CTGCGGATTGGCAAGGAGGGATGAGAGCAGGGGGAAGAGGAAGGAACAGCTCAGCACCTAGTCGGGACACAACTGAAGCCTGGGAACCCTGTAATAAGATAGACCGATGGGTCTGGTTACCCTAAGCTCCAAATCTGAGAGGTACTGGCCACACCGACCCTGGCTGCCAGCCCAGAGATGACTCCTGTCCCGCGCCCCACCACCACATGCCAGGAGAGGGCTGGCAGGCACCAGTGCTTGCATCAGGAACCGGATGCTTGGTCCAGCTGTGCTGCCTTTGCACCAGAACTGCTGGGACCTGAGGGCTCCTGCTCCCCGAGCAGCTGCAGCGACCTTTCTCCCAGGAACGACGGAGCTCCTGATTCCCCACACCCTGCTCCTAGGCAATAATTAATGCTCTACGAAAAGCACAGATCCTGCTCTCCAGGGCTCTGGACCTGGTGCCCTAGAGACCACAGGTAGTGGGAACAGTCTCCCGAAGGTCCCAGGGCTGGAAAGGCATGGTGGGAAGCCTCTCCCTGGTAGGCCTGGGCCTCCTTGGACTCAGGCAGTCAGTCCTCTTTTGCTCCTCATGGGATATAAAAATTCACACGTGAGTGTAGATCCAGGTTCACACACTCGTGAGGGCCTGTGTGTACACACTCCATGTGCTATCTACCTCTAACAGTAATAGTGACTAATATGGACATACAGTAGTCTCCATCTGTGGGGGATCCGGTCTAAGACCCCCAGCAGATGCCTGAAACTGCAGACTGTATCCAACTCTGTGTGTACCATGCTATTTCCTATCATACATACGTATATACATATCTACGTAAAGTTAAATTTATAAATGAGACATACCGGGGCCAGCAGGTGGCATGGTGGTTAAGGCACTGGACACTTCCATATGGCCGACCACGGTTCGAGTCCCAGACCTGGTGGCTTGCTTTCTTACTTTCCTTCTCTCTGTGTGTCTGTCTTTCTCTGCTCAAATGAAAATAAATGAATGAATAAATAAAGTTAACTAAATAATTATTTTTTAAAATTAGACATACCAAAAGATTAACAACAACTAATAATAAAATAGAACAGTTAAAGCCATATACTGTACTAAGAGTTATGTGAATGTGGTCTCTCTCAAATTATCTGATCTGGGACAGCACACGGTGTGGTGGTTAAGGCACTGGATCCCACATGGCTGACTGCGTGGTTTGAGCCTCGGATCCAGCAGCTTGAAAAACAGACTGGCCAAATATACTCCAAATACCCAGACAAGAGAATGGAGGAGGAACTGCAGTCTGGCTATAGTCCCGGGGGACTACTTTTTTATTTTTCCCTGTCTCTCTCCAGTGAGCACACATGCCCTATAGCAAAAAACAAAACAAAACAAAATCAAGAAATAGCTTATCGTACTATATTTAGTATTTTCAGATCATGGTTGGTTTATTCCAAGTAACTGAAACCACAGAAAGTGGATCTGGGGGACCAGCAGGTGGCGTGGTGGTTAAGGTGCTGGACACTCCCACATGGCCGACTGCGGTTCGAATACCGAACCTGGTGGCTTGCTTTCTCACTTTCCCTCTCTTTCTGTGTATCTCTCTGGTCAAATTAAAATAAATTAATGACTAAATAAAATTAAATAAATAAAAGAAGAAGAAAAAAAAAAGAAAGTGGATCTCAGGCTAAGGTGGGGGGGGGGCACTGTACCCGGTACTTTACATGAGAAGGTTTAAATGCTTCACCTGTATCTCACAAGACAGGCTTTTATTCATCTCGTTTTACACAAGAGACTGCCTCGCAGGGAATTTAAGTATTAATAGCACACCTGAGGTCACAGCTGGCCTGGGATTTGAACCTAAACAATCTGAATCTAGGCTCCTGGCTCTTAACCAACATCCCAATACTACCTCCTGCTTAGCACCTATTTGAGGAATTGAATCCTGTGGGCACACACACATGAGGAAGTGAGAGGAGCCAGAGGAAGCCAGAGCGGGTGCACTCTTTCATTTGGAGACCCCGCCCAGGCCTGGCATGTCCCATGCCTGTCTCTGTGTTCCCTGGATTGTGTTGTATGTTTCACGTGTGTCTACATGAGACTGCGTGAGAGGGAGCAAAATCTGCCTACCAGCATTCCCTGCTGATGGAAAGCGGCCTGGAGATGGGGCTCTTGAGGTCTTTCCCACAAGCCCTCCCTGCTGCTAGCCATGCCTCGTGCCCCCCAGGGTCTAGGCTTCCCAGGTACTTGGGGTCAAGGGCTTCTAGCCTAGCTCTGCAGAGGGGAGGAGGGAATGCCATGCATGGCACTGCCATCTCCAGGCCCAAGTCTATCCCACAGTGCCAGGCCTCCCCACTTCCCAGGGTCAGACTCTGTCATCCCAAGCTCTTTGAAAGGGTGTCCTTCGGAGACACTTCCTGGTGTTTCTGCTCAAACAGCGTTTGCTGCAAAATATGTCGAAGCATTTGGGCTGCAGTTTTTGGTTCAGAATATGCCAATGTTTTCATTTGGAAAGGGAAGTGTTTCTGTTGATGTGGTAAAGAGATAAAATAAGATATTCTTTACCAAGTTACACTGTCTGAAAGTCAAGCGCTTGGCTTGGGGACAAAGATTCATCTTGGGATCGCCCAAGCCTAGCAGTGGCTGGCAGAAGAGCAGGGAGGGCCAATGTTTGTTGAGTGATTGACTGAGTGACTATGAAAAGGCGTCGGACCAGGAGTGCTATAAGCTCAGCACTCAGTACGGGTTTTGAATGGATCCTGCAGGTTCAACCTCCCACAGGTAGCTTCAGTCTATTCGTGTTTCTCCCTCTTCATTAACCTTGCCTCATCTGAGCTTCTGTCACTTCTGGCCAGGACAAATAGCCTCCTAGCTGGGTCCCTTGCTGCCACTTGTCCCTTCAGCCCATCCTTCCCACCTTCACCAAAGTCATCTCTGCCTAAAACTTTCCAAGGCTTTCCATTGCTCCTGGCTGTGGTCTCCTGGTCCTCCCGTGGTTGCCCGGGTCTCCCTCCTGGGCTGCCCTCCAGTTACCTGCCTCCTTCTGGTTGCCAGGAGAGTCACCTCTCTCCCACCCCCAAGCCTAGGCATAGTGGTTCCCTGTGTGAACTGCTTTTCTCTGAATGTCCGACTCCTGCTATCAACTTAGGGCTTAGTTCAAATGTGTCACCTCCTCCAAGAAGCCTTCTCTGATCCCCCACCTACAGCAGGCCATCTATGCTCTTCTGTCCCGCTCCCTGGATGTCTGCACCCACACAGAGCGGCCGCTGGGTGCCAGGTGCTGCGCTAAATGCTGAGGAACAGCAGTGAGCACAGGGGCTGTGCCCGTCCTTCCTGTGTGCCTTTGCAGCCCTGCACGAACCTCCTTATCTTGTCAGTCCTTCTCACCGAGTGCTAGGAGGGCGAAAGGGCTGCGTCTGTTCGCCACCATGCTCACTCACTGGCACAGCATCGAACAAATGAGTGTTTGTACGGAAGGATGGAGGCAGGCAGGCTGGGAAGGTATAGATATGCAGGGCGGCTGGCACCCGCTCCACCTGGCACCTGGCTCTTGCTAAGATCTCACTGAGCTGAGTTGAAGAAATCTCACTGCCAGCCCCTCAGGGGAGCCCTCCGACCCCAGTACTGCTGCCAGCAGGTCCTGCCCCATCCCAAAACAGACAAAATGTTTATGTCTCCCCTAAATTCATATATTGAAACCCTAATCCCATATAATGGTATGCAGAGGCACTTTGGGGCAGTGATTAGGTCATGAGGGGGGAGCCCTCATGATTGGGATCAGAGTCCTCATAGGAACTGTGAGAGGTAAGAGCCTGTTGTTAAGTCTCCCAAGCCATGGCTTTCTGTTACAGCAGCCCAGACTAAGATGCCCTCTGGTTATGGCACCATGGCAAAGACAGGCAACACAGGAGAGGGGTAAAGCCAGGCTGCTTGGGTGTGTGGCGTTAGTGTCTGTTTTCTAAGAGACTCTGCCTGCTACCTCAGCATCTCCCCTCCACACCACTCAGGCCTGTGCCCAGTGACATTCCAGCGCTGTCCGAGTCCTGCCTGCCTGTGACCCCTCCTGGAACCTGACGCTGTCCGACAGCGTGTTGGTACGTGTGCTCTTCCACCTAGTCCAGGGTCCACTTCTCCTTGCTGGGTGACTTTGGCAAGACCTAACTCCTCCCTGGGCTTTTCATTTCCCGCTCTCTAACATGCACGGTGGGCTGGACAGGAAGTTCTCTGCTTGCAGCCCAGAGGCAGGACTTTCCCACCCTGTGCGATGATCCCGCCGGCCCTTCTGCTGATTCAAGAGCCCCTTGAGCCCTCGTAGACAAAACCAGTCCAACACCAGTCACCGGCTTGCCTGTTCCTATGAAGGCAGGCTGCAAAACTGGCAACCCCTGCAGACTGGAGCTGCAGAACTGAATAGCTGGGACACCCTGAAACCTGACTCCAAAACAGCAGCACATCCAAGGCCAGGAGGAAGCACTGGGCTTTTTGCTAGAGGTTTCTTCTCCCACAGCCGTGGCCTGCGGCCCCAGACTCAATTCCCACCCAGTCCTCCCCTAACCCACTCTTCAAGGAGCCACAGTACAAAGGTGAATACCTGGCTCCCTCCGTTTTCTGACACCTCCAAGTCTTTCTTCTTCTGGGACTAGTGAGAATTCCCAGAAAAGGCAAGGTCACCATGAAGCCAGGCTGAGGACAGGGGAGGAGCCTACCACTTGGCCTCAAATGGATTTGGGAGCAGAGGCTTTTTTCCCCAGTTGGTGGGGCTGAGTTCCATGGTTACCCAAAACATAACTTAGGCCCTGGATCCCCACCCTCTTTCACAGCTGACCCCTCCCAGCCCCAACCAAGGGCCTGAAGAAGGGTTGGGCCATTCCTCCAGGTTAGACCTGGAGGAGGTGGATGGAGGAGTCAGAGGCCTGGGAGAAGGTGGGTCTGGCCTCAGGATTCCTCCTCCTCCCTCCACAGAGCCCCCAAACGCCCTTATCACCACCACCACCCCAACCCCCATCGCAGAAATGGCACTTACAGGCCTCGGAGAAGGCCGGGGAGGGCCTCATCTTGGGGTTCCATCTCTGTCCTGAAGGTGCCCCAACCAGCAGCAGTGGCATGATGAGGATGGCTGGTCCAGGCCAAGGGTTGCGGATGGCAGGGGGGAGAAGGGAACGGCAGTTAAGACCCTACTCCAAGTACCCATCGAAGACTTCGAGCTCCCAGTCGGCATCATAGAGGCCCGAACCGGGGTCGGAGAGCACGCCAAGGTCCACCAGCGCCTGGTCCATGTCCTCGGGCAGGAAGACGAGGCCCACGTTGAGGACGATGTACTCCATGAGGAAGGCGTAGTAGAGGATCAGCACATTGACGAAGAACAGGCCCACGTAGAACATAGAGGGCAGCAGCGGCGGCGGCACGTAGGGGACCAGGGGGCCCAGCGCGTCCAGGTGGGCCGCGACCCGGGCGCCGGGCATGCAGGGATCGGCGAGGGCGGCGGCGGCCGGGCGATCTCAGCTGCTGCGGCGCCCGGGCGGCCGGCGAGGGGGCAGTTCAGCCATCCAGGAGCGCCCCAGGGTGCGATGGAGGCGACACTGGGCCCCAGTTGCCCCCCAAGGATGAGCGAGGGTCTCTGTGGATACGCCAAGAGCCTTGAAATGTGTCGGGCGGGGTGTCTCTGTACCCCGAGATGTGTAGGGTCCTCTCGATGCGCCGGGCGGCGAGGTAGACCCCTCCCCCGCCTCCCGCGTCTCCCGCCCTGCCCGGCAGTTCCTCGCGCCCCCTCCGCGCCCCCGCAGGCCCAACTCCCATGGCTGCGGCCGCCGCGTCGCCCTCCTGGTCGCGTTCCCAGCACCGCCTCCTGAGCGGCCCCGCGCTCATTGGCCCACCGCCCCCTGCGGCGCTCATTGGCCGTCTCAATGCCCGCGCTCATTGGCCCGAGCTGTCAGGGGGCGGTCCGAGAGCGGGTACTGCCCCGCCCCGCCCCGCCCCGCCCCTCGGGGCGCTAGCCTTGGACTTGGCGTTCTGGTTGGGGTCTGCGCTCGCATCCCAAATCGGATTCACTTGTGTGGTCCAGGGAGCAGGGGAAGGAAACAGACCAAACGCAATTCATACCCAGACGAATAGTAAGACTGAGAAGCTGAAGGAAGACCAGGGCTTCCTCTGCGCCTTGCTGGATTTGGGTACGGAGCCGTGCTTCATTGGGACCAAGTTTCCCCAGCCGAACAAGTCCGGGTGGGAGGAAGAGGAACCAGCAGTTAGCGTAATGGCTATGTCGCTGGACTCCCATGTAGTTGACCACGGTTCGAGTCCCGGTCCCGGACCCAGTGACTTAAATTCACGCAGGGCGCGTGTGCGTGCGTGTCCAAGATCCAGAGAGGAGAATAGAGGAGAAGGGATTGTGGCGTGGCCATCCCCCCCTGGGGGGTGATTTCTCTCTTTCAGTCTCTCTCTGTTTTTCTGGCGAGAGCACGCACCCTATGGCAAAAACCTCTCAAAAAAACAAAACAAAAAAAAAAAAAACAAGCCCGGGTGAGGATGGGGCGGTGAATCTTTCCATGGAAAATCTTGGCTATTCCTAAAGCTCTGACTTTGCATGATGGAGAAGTTTAATCAGTGCCGCCTTCATTTCTCCAAATTCTGGCGGCTGGAAGGTTGGTCCATTGGGGGATCCCCATCATAGGGTTCAGGAATGTCTGGGTAAAGAGATTCTGAAGCAGGACTGACCTTCAGCCAGTAAAAATGCCTTCAATTTTTTTTTAAATGTTCTAAACCATGTTCAAAAATAATAATAATGCACGTGGCTAAACATGCAAACAATTAAGAAGTATACAGAAAAGGTTGTCTCTCCTACTGATTACCCTCTCCTGACAGCCTTGGAATATCTTTCAAGAGACTAACCTTGCCCAGAGTGCCTCAGGCAACGCTGAGCTGGTAGTTCACCTGTCTGGAATCAGACAAGGCTGTGGAGTGTGTTACCCCTTTTTACAAATAAGAAAACCAAGGCTCAGAGAAATGGAGGGACCCTGGAAACTGCTGGGCCTGAGTATATTTCTTGGGAGATCAGAATCTGCTCTTTTTTCTTGGTGACTTTATCTCACCCCTTGTAGATGAATTAAAGGGCAGACCATTAACCCTGCAAGGTCTCTGCCCAACTGCTAAATCCTCATTCATTCATTCTGCCAGGACTGGAACACAGGCTATGAGCCAAACCTCTTGGGGAGACTCCACACCAGTACAGTTAATAGGACACAGCAGGCCTTAAATAACTATGAGGTGTAGAAATAAATGAATAAATGGGCGGTGAACAGGGAAATCTTACCCTCCATCGAACTTCCCACTTTTAATCCAGGAAGTTTGAGACACATCTTCTTGGCTCATGTGGAAAGTTGAGGGTTTGCTTTTTCTTTCTAATGTGATCATTTGGGAAATGGCAATGGTTTTGGATGAAAACCAGAGAACTCTGAAAGCACAGGATGTTCAGTTTTGCTAGATTGTTGCTTGCAAGCCTTTCCAATATGTATATATTTTACATGAAGTGAAGAAAAGAAAAAGGTTGTGAGGACAAACAGGAGGTGGCAGATTTGGTGCAGTTTTATTGGGGAATGAAAGTAAGGGTACCTGGGTTTACATGCTGGTTCTGCTACTTGCTAACCCGTTGACCTCATGTTCGCCTGGCTGTGCCTGGGTTTCCTGGATGATAAGATGGGGTGTTAAAAGAGTTAAATACTTCTACATATGTAAAGCGTTCAGGACGGTGGAACGCAGTGTTCGCCTGGGATTGCTATTCTTTCTCTTATCATAAAGCTAATACTATTAATATTGCGGCTACTCTTCCTCGCGAGTCCTTCCTCAGGGCTACGCCCACAGCATGCGGGTTCCCGCCCACCCGGATCATTCTGCAGGCTCTCCGCCGCGCTCGCTTCTCCTTTTATCCAAAGCCGCAGCCCCGCGGGTGCGCGATGCACGCCGGGCCTTGTAGTCCCTGCGCGGAGTCCTGTCGCCAGGGGCCTCGCGGACGAACTGCATTTCCCAGCGTTCCTCGTGGCGGCGGCCGTAAAGCGCGGCGGTCGAACGGCCGGTTCCGGCTGAATGTCAGTGCGGGGCTGTGGGCCGGGGAGGAAGGTGGCTGGCGGTTCTTCTGCCTCCTCCGTCGCTGCCTCCTCGGCTTGTGCTGCCACCGTGGGAACCGGGCCGCTCGGCTGGTCCGGCATGAAACCGTGAGGCAAGCGACGGGTCGGGGCCGCCGACATGTTTGGCCGCTCGCGGAGCTGGGTGGGCGGGGGCCATGGCAAGTCTTCACGCAACATCCACTCCTTGGACCACCTCAAGTGAGTGTATGGGGAATGGAGGGGAGGCCGCGACCTGGGCATGGGGATGGGGCGCAGATCCCCGGGCAGGGAGCCCTGGGAGTGAGAGAGCAGAGGGAGGGGGCGGAGAGGGGCGCCCGGGGAAGGCTGTACTGTGGTTAAGAGCGAGGGCTCTGGAGTCAGCCTAGGCTCGAACCCGACCCCGACACTCCTGGCTATGTGACCTTGGCCAAGTCGCCTAATTTCTCAGCCTTAATACTCCCACCTGTAACCTAAGAGGATGAGATTTCCGTTTTTACGGACGCGGACTTTGTTCTTGCCGGGAGCGATCAGTGGCCACCCAGCTTCCTAGGGTAGTACTTCTGAGCCTGGACGGCTTAGGGATCCTGAATCTCGGTTCCTGGAGTCGGGCAGATCTGGGTTCGAATTTTGATCTGTGCATTTGGGCCTCTGTTTTCTCCGTTGTAAGACAGATAGAGTGACAGTAGTTGTTTTGAGGGCTGGTTGAAGAAGAGAATGAACTCAAAGCTAGGAACATGTACGAATGCTCTGTTTAAAAAGTATTTTGTGGAGGGAGGACAGTCAGAGCTCTGAGGAGGGCAGGTGGCAGACAGGGTTCTGGGAAGCAGGAGTGCACTGGGATTAAGAGGCTTTGCTGGTAGACCTACATTCAGATCCTGACTCTCCCTCTTAAAGGCTGTGTGACCTTGGACAAATTACTTCACCTCTCTGAGCCTCTGTTCCCCAGCTGCACATGGGCATAGTGGACACTGTACAAAGATTCAGTGATGTATGGAAAGTGGTTGGCCCAGTGTTACACAGTAGGCAGCCAGGAGTGGTTACTGTGTCAGCCCAACAAGGCCTTTCCAGACCACCCTCCCTACAGTGTTCCTCCCACCCCAGGTCTTTGCACTGCATGTTTTTTCTTGATTTCATTCTACACATCTGCCCTATGTGCAGTTTTCCTGTTCATCTTTGCTTCTTCGATGTCTCCTGCTAAACTGATACTTCCAGGGGAGAGACTGGAGACTTGGTTTGTTCACAGCTGAATCCCATCATCTAGCCCTGGGCCAGGTGCACAGTAGGAGCTCAGCAGAAATTTAAGCAATGAAAACATGAATGAAGGGACTGGGGAGAGATGCAGAGCAGACAGGCTAAGACCCAGGATTTAGGAGGCTAGAAGGGGTGACAGAGAACACAGACCTTTGGATGGCTCCAGGAAGAAAAATGTTTGTGTCTGCGTGTGGGGAGGTGCTGAAGGGGGTCAGCGGACCTTCGGTGGTAAGAAGTAGGCTAGCTTTCATGGGGAGCTCCTGAGGTTACTAATGGAAAAGATGGGGTTGAGGGGTCAGTGGGGGACAGTAGAAGTAATATGGTGGAAAGGATTAGTGGGAGGGGATTGGATGGGGGCCGTTCCATTTGACCCCCAGGGAGGGTGGGGGTGAGGGCGGGGGATACTGTGATTGTAAGCTGTGTTTTTTTCCAGCATGGAGCAGGCACTTAATACCTGTCTGTGGTTCTCAAAGAGTGGGAGACAGGAGGATTTACGACCTGGTTTGGGGAGTGATGGTGAGGAGACAAGGGGAGGAAAGAGGCCCAGCAGAGGGCTGTGGATGGGTAGAGAAGCAAGACTCAGATGGGAGGGCAGCTGGCTGGGAAAGGGAGAGGCTTCAGGATTTCAGGAATTTAAGGAGTGGGTGGATGTGGCTGAGCAGGGAGGATGGGTATCCAGAGGAGGTTGGGCCTCCTGCCAATGCCCGCGTACCTGCAGGCTCTCACCTCCCTCTGCCTGAGTCTAGCCCTTTTAAGTTACTTTCGTATTTATTGAGAGCTCTATTCTGTGCCAGGTACTTATTACTAAGGACTTTCTGTGTGCCGTATCTCCCATCCTCACGAGCCTGAGTTACGGGAACTGTTACTTCTTCCATCTTATAGACGTGGAGACTAAGGCTCAAGGAGCTTCAGTTGTTTGTCTCGAAGCCCCAGCTGTTGCTGAAGAATGTCAGAGCCAGAGCTGGACTCCAGAGCTTGTGCTCCTTACCCTGTCTTTTTGAATAAGACTTCCTGGGAAGGTGCTCTGGGAGTGTTTTCAGCCTGGCTGAGTCTCATCCCCATGGGGCATCTTCACCAGCCAGCCAGCGTGGTGAGGGTTCTCGGATTCCTCTGCGGGATCCTGGGAACTGCTGGGTTCACTGTTTAGATCGCAGGTCTATGCGCATGTCTACCAGCCCCCTTTTCGGAAACCTGAGCTGGGAGCCCTGGATCAGGCAGATCAGCTTAATCCTACAGTCTGCGCCTATAACTCCTGTACGGGTGTAGGCCTTAGCCATCCCCAGGTGACTTGGAGGAGTGCCACCAACAGCCAGTGCCCACCAGGGCTGTGCTCCTCTGTGTTTGGCTCTCAGAGGAAACATCTGGGATCTTGGGTACAGAACAGCTCATCCCTAAGGGAGTTTGCAGGCTGGTGGAGGGACAGTCGTAGCGCCAGTGGCTGCACAGTATGACAAATGCTGGGATCACTGTAGGCCCAGAGCTCTGTGGGAACCTTCCTGGAAGCTTTCCAGTGGAGACAGCACCGGAGTGGAGTCTCCGAGTAAGAAATACCACATGTGGCAGCAGGGGGTGTGTGTGTGGTGGGGGCCGTCATAACCAGGTCCCTGGGGTCTGTGACTTGTTAAGGTAGGGCAGTACCAAGTCAAGTGGTGGCAAAGAAGTCTGGAGGTAGAAAGGGGCTTCAGCTTTATCCGACATGGAGGGTGACCAACCATCCTAGTTTGCCTGGGACTGAGCGGTTTCCCCGGACATGGACCTTTCAGTGCTGAAACTGCAGAAGTCCTGGGCAAGCCAGTACACACTGGCCACCCTGTAGTGACAGCTTTCTCAGGATGACTTTGCCCTGACCTAGGGGCAGGGTGGATGGTGAAGAGAGGCTAAGCTATTTGAAAGAAGTTATAACTTTCTGGGTTTTTAAATTATTTTACTTTATTTTATTTTTCATGTAAGCATCTGCAAACCCTTCTCTTTTTAAAAATAGACATAATCTGGGGACCAGCAGGTGATGTGTTGGTTAAGGTGCTGGACACTCCCACGTGGCCAACCACAGTTCAAGTCCTGGACCTGGTGGCTTGCTTTCTCACTCCCTTCCGCCCCTGTGTATTTCTCTCTGGTAAAATTAAAATAAATGAATGAATAAATAAGAGTAAATACATAATTATTAAAATTTTTAAAAAAATAGACGTAATCTTAGGTCAGTTTGAGATTTACAGAAAGACTGAGATGCTAGAACAGAGCTAGAAACCATGTTTCAGCCACGTTATTTTTTTTTTTTTGAGAGGTTTTGGCTATAGGGCACGTGCGCTCGCCAGACAGAGAGAGACAGAGAGATAGAAAGCAAGAAATCACCCCCCAGGGGGGATGGCCACGCCACAATCCCTTCGCCTCTCGGGATCTTGGGCACGCACACACATGCGCCCGGCGTGAGTTTAAGCCACCGGGTCTGGGACTCGAACCGCGGTCGACTACGTGGGAGTCCAGCGACATAGCCATTATGCTAACTGCTGGTCCCTCAGCCACGTTATTTTCATAATGCTGCCAGCTTGCAAACGGGAAAGGAACTTTCCTGTCAGAGTTTTACTTTTGCCACACGACGGAAGACTGAGTACCTGTGGTCTTTGCTGAATTGAGTTAGTGATTTTGTTGAGGCCGATTAAGATACTACGAGGTCGGGGCCAGCAGGTGGCGTGGTGGTGAAGGGCGCTGGATTCCCACATGGCCAATCACGGTTCAGGTCTCAGACCTGGTGACTTGCTTTCTCATTTTCCCTCTCTCTCTCTTATTCTCTCATTCTGTTCCTCTGTGGTCACATTAAAATAAATAAATAAAGTTAAATAAAATAATTCTTTAAAAAAAAAAAAAGATCCTACGAGGATATTTGCTATGTGGTGTGCAGGGTTTAGGGCCCAGACCGGTGGCCAGGCTGTGACACTGACTGACGAATGCCCTTCCTGCTGGAGGCTTCGACGGCTACTGAAACTTCGTCTTTATGAGGGACTGAGTCCCCTCAACTGATAGAACTAGGTCGTTGTTACCTTGACTCTGGTCACCTTGCGTGTGGCTCAGGATCTTGGTTGCATGTGACAGGAGCCCAGCTGGCGCTGTCTTTAGATCACAATGGAATTGATTGGCTCCTGTCACCGAATGGCCTGCCCTGGCCAAGTGGAGGCAAAGTCCAGGTGTTTAGATGAAGCTGTCGGGACTCTGTCTCTTTCCATCTTGGTTCTGCCTCCTTCTGAATTGGTGACGCTCTCAGACAGGCTCCAGGCTGACGTCTTATCAGCGTAGCAGTCCCTGGAAAAGAGAGAGCCTCAGGTCCTAGCATCGCCAGCCAGCAGAAACCCAGCTCAAGTCAGGCTGGACCGACCTGGGGCTTCATGTAGCCCCAAGCCAGGTCTCCTGCAGCATGGCCATGGCCGTGGGGGGCTCTGTTGGTGAAGTCTTCTCACATGCCTCCCCTGAAGCCAGGGGTGGGATCGGCTTTACCCAAGCTAGTGGACAGAGGATGAGAGAAGGGGGCGGTTAGCCATGGGAAAGCTAGGGGTTGTGATCCAGAGAAGATGGGGATGCACACCCAGCAGACAGATCCTTGCCCACTCTTGGTATGTTCAACTTCTGGCTAAAGTAACACTGGCAGTTTTAGACTGGGGTACAATATTCCAGACTGATTGTCTCTCTTTCTTTTTCTCCTTCTTCTTTCTTCTTTTTTTTTTTTGAGAAGTTTTTGCTATAGGGCACGTGCACTCACCAGAAAGAAAGAAGGAGACAGAAAGCGAGAAATCACCCCCCAAAGGGGATGACCACGTCACAATCCCTTCTCCTCCATTCTCCTCTTGGGATCTTGGGCATGCACGCACATGCGCCCAGCAGGAGTTTTAAGCCACCGGGTCTGGGTTTCGAATTGCAGTCAAGTGTGGGAGTCCAGTGATGTAACCATTATGCCATCTGCTGGTCCCCAGACTGATTTT